CACTGGGCACTTGGCATGTTGCTCTGCAGCTACGCAGGCCAGTGGGCAGCGTACGTCTAGTCCCCAATTTGTGGACAAGCCCTCTCTGAATGCCAATGTTATGCAGTTAGCTAGGTCTGACTTTCCCTTCCTGCGGGGCCCTCTTTCCAGACCCCTTCTTTCACCAGGCATTCAAGTCCCAGCACTGGCTGTTCCTGCTCCAGTGACTGCTCAGCTGCAACTCTTGCTTAAAATTTCTCATTTTACTTTGGTGACTTGGCATCTCCCTTTCCTGATTTCATGCTCAGCTATAAATTAAAACAATTTTGGTTCTATTTTATCCAGCCTTGTAATAGGTTTGTATTGGGGAGGGCAGAAGCATCTTTCATGCCAGCTCAGGCCAACAGGTTGACCAGAAGTATCGATTCTGCATTTTGATTTCCTGGTAAAACTTATTTATCACACCCAACACAATGATCCGAGGCACTGCCTTTAGACTTGTATAGATGAGGGTCTATATTAGCCGTGAACCATCACCCAGAGTTCAATACCTCTCCCAGCACCCTGCCTCATTTAATAAATGTGCATAGTGACACTCTCACAGGACTTTCCTAAAGGATAAATGAAATCACACAAGAAAGCACCAGCACACAGTAACAGGAGTGACTGCTTAGGCTCTGCTAAGAGTTTCAAACCATCTTGTTAGATTTCCTTTGGTTCCTTCAAGGGTCAATCTTTCTCTGAGTCTTCAGGATAGCATCCCGTTGCGTTCATGTGGCAATATTTTCTCACATGTGCCATCTGTTGTTTCTTATTTTCTCACTGTTGACTCTGTCTAGAATAGGGTCTCTTCATGCCTTGTGTCTGACAATAGAGAGTGGAGAACGTCTGCTCTGCCCTTGGTCATGGTACCGTCCTTTCTCATATTTACGTGATCAAAGAGCAGAGCTCTGAGTGGAACATCTAGACTCTTGCAGACATCGGCCCAGGACAGCTCTGCTTCGCTGAGGATGGTTCTCATCATACCCTCATTGTATGAACTGCTGACACTCTGAATTGATACAGCACATATACACACACATGCTCATACACACACACACACACACAAATCACTGTTGTAAGCATGAATGATTTATCTCCATTCTCACCTGTACATGGTTTAATTATTCAGGATTTGAGGATATAATGTGTCTCCCTAGTTCCCCACCACTATGGGAAATTGTGTCTCCGAGGAATAGAAAAAGCCAAGAGAGCAGCAGAGGAATGACATCCCAGTTTTTAGTTAGCATTGACCCATGTCTCTGAGCCAGGGGCAAGGCAGTATGGGAAAGACAAATCATATTTTTTTCAGGATGGACAGTTTTCTCTGTTTCAAGAGGCAAAGCATGTACTCGTTGATTCTCGGTCAGTTGATTCTCAGTTCTGCTCCATAGATCTCTGTGTTCTGACAGTACGTTCATCAACATTGATTTTTGGCATGACACGTATTTATATTTTTCCATATATCAAGTGTATTTAGTTGCGAGAGGCTGCATCCGGAACCACTAATCCTAAATGTTGCTTTTAATTCAAAGTGTATTATAGAATTTAATAATTTTTAATCCTAGCTGAATTTTTTATTAAGCCCACAGGAAAATCAAGACAAAAAGATGGTGTATATTTGAATATAACTGGGCCCAAAGTAGACATGGAGTAAATGTTTTTTTGCATTCAATCTAAATATGGTCCCATATCGCCAGTAGCATCATTTCAGGGTCTCTAATTCCTACAAGACAATGTAAAAGAAGCCTCAATAACTTGGACCAGCTACAACACTCAATTCTCTTATTGTTCTATAGACATCATACAATTGCTCTCTGGTTCTGGCAAGATGATCTATATTCCATCCTCCACACGTGACTGGTCTATTTTGTCACCATGCTTCTCTGATTGTCAACTGCTCTGCTGAGAAAATGAGCTCCCCCTCCTGTCTGGTATCCATGCCTCCAATTCATTTGTATCTGCCCCACATGTACTTCTTCCAGAAAACAAGTTCCTCATAAACTCATATGCCCACCCCACCTGTGTCCAGCTTTAGATTAAAATACATTAATCTGCCTCCATTAATTAATATGGTCCTCTTAAAAGCTGCATTTATATAATTTCAAAGTGGATGCCTGTTCTGATGGCCAAAAACTGGAAGCTCATGGAAGGCAAGACCCACTCTTTGGTGTGTTCTGTGACTCCTCCCTCCCTCTGGACAGAAATATCTGGTACAGGGCTCTGCACACAAAAACAATGAATATCATTTACCACATCGTGAACAGGTCAATGCTAGTGAAGGTAAATCACTGAAGGGGTTTTCTCCTGGATGCTAATATATGCTAATGCAAGGAAAATTGAACAATTTAAATTTGTTATTGTTGCCCTTTAGCAATTCATTATAATATGAACCTCACTGCCATCTGGGTATTTGCAGCAATCAGTTGGGGATTCAATATTTCCTTCCAACCCAAATACTGAAGTGAGGGAAATCATAACATGAATCAATGATCAGTCTGCTAGGAAAATACTGGAGGGCAAAATTATTATTCTTAAGGCAAAATACAAAATGAATTGGACTTTAAAATTTGGTCATTTCAAATTACTATCTTGGTACAACAGTAAAGGAGTGCTAATGGTACAAAATGAAAACTGAAAATTGGAAGATGCTACGAAAACCACTGAAATAGAAAAGTAAAGCATAAATTCTAGTAATAAGCAGAGCTGAGATGAAGACTACCTGCCCATTTGGATCAACTAAGATCATCTGGTTAGGGGATGCCATTGTCCACAGGTGACATTACTAAGTGATCACCGCAGCACCTTTTCCAGTGTTTCCATACAGAAGTTCAGAATTCTTCTCAGGTGGCTACCAGCCATAGCTTGAACGTGTCATAAGTGATAGTTTGGATGATCACTCCACAAACATTCACACCCCTCTTCCTTCCCCTACGGGCAGAGTCTAATTCCCTGCCTCACTGGTACTGGACTTGGCCATATGACTTGCTATGCCTAATGGGATTTAATGAGGCCTTTCTTAGGCCTCAAGTGTGCTTCTGTGCTTGGTCTTGGTCTTGTGCTCTGGTTTATACCCTGAGAACAGCAGGCCCCAGGTAGCCACAGCCTCTTTAGCCTGGGTCTCATAACAAATGTACACAGAGTACACCTGAACTCAGCCTGCACCCTGAAGCAGAACACATGAGACAAGTAAAAGAATGAAGTCGTGTTGTTCTAGCCACTGAGTTTTAGGGTCGTTCGGTATACAGTATAATTTTGCCAATAACTGATTAATACAGCATTTTAGATGAAACTTAGTTATCCCTGGCCTAAAAACTGGTAAAACAAGAAAATGTCTAGGATAAAGTAGACAGACATTTCAGAGGTAATAGGGGGCCATTATGAAAAAGAAATAGCCATGTTGGAAGCCATGTTCAGCCATGTTGAATCACAGTCTTAAAGTTTTCAGATTTCAGTCTTATCCATAAATAAATCTAATTCACTCAGTCTTCAGATTAGGACAAATGAGGCTGAGAGAAATTAAATGGTTTGACAGGATGAAGGTATAAGTTGAACCCTCTTCATTATTAATATTGCATTCTCTTTGCAGCAAAACAATAATGTGTGCTTCTAAGAGGACTGCCTTCCTGGCATTGTGAACCAGGGAGAACTGAGTTGACGAGCGGTGTCAAGAGAAAAAAGCGGTGACCAGCCCCTGCTGCCAGACTGCCCTGCTTTGTCCCCTGGGAGCCTATCTATGGGGATTCTAAGGAAGGCCATGCACCCAGTCTGAGATCCAGGCCACAGTCTGGAAATCTGATGAAGCAAAATCCTACTAGGCATGAAGGCAATAAAAATAAGGAAACAATACCTTGGCATAAAAATCCATCTGATGGTTTAACCTCAGGGCAAACCATTTTTAGGTTGGAAAATAGTCTGGGCCACCTATTCTTCAGGAGAGAGTCCTGAAGGAGATGATTTCATACATGAACTCTTCAGCTAAGGTTGACTTAACCTTAACCAGCAGAGTAAGCTACTGCATCAGAGTAAGCTACTGCATCAGAGGCTTTAGGAAGACTGTTCCCACCCCCATCAGGTTAAAGTTAACACTTTCATTCCCTTTGGCTCAATGCTCACCTAATGCCAAGCAAAATTAGATACTGTTATTCCTAAAACATCCTTCTGGAAGTAAGATTCCAGTACTTGGCTCCTTAGAACCTATCTAAGTGTTTAGCGCACAAGAAGCACTCAATAAATACTTCTTGAATAAATGAACGGGCAAACGTGTAAGTGATTGTTCAATATCTATGTAACTGCTGATCTGACTTAGAGGTTTACATTATAGTTTACTAACCAACAAAGGCATCATAAGTAAGAAAAAACATAGCAGTAAGGTCAAGTTTAAATTCCACTAAACCTCTCATTCATTCATTTAACAAATATTAATATCAAATGCTGGCTACATGTAAGCAATGTGTGATTTTCTGTAGACAGAGCAGCAAATCAAATAGCTAAAGTCCCTGCTCTCAGGAAGCTGACAATAGTTTAATAAGAGAAATAGTTCAAACATGCACAGGCGCGCGCGCGCACACACACACACACACACACACACACACACACACACAAATATAAAAGAATAAAAAGGACAGAGAGCCATATGAGAGTGTAAGAGTGAGTACACATTTTAGAGGATCAGAGAAGGTCCCTCAAATAAATAATCCCAAAAGGTCTCGTTCGAAATGTGTGAACTGGAAAAATAAACAGACATCAGGAAATACCATTTTTTCACAGAGCCCTGCACCTGAAATGCAGCAGCAGATGGAGTATCATGTATATATGTACAGTGAGCTGAGGCCCTTATATTTTAGCAGCTAGATCCTAAGACCCCATCCTCTCCCAGAGGTTCCCCAAACTATTGTCCTTTCTAAGTTAAAATCTCTATAATTAAACCTCTGAAACTTGATTACACATGACATATATTACAATTTTATAAAATGCCTAACATTCAAACATACCAAGCAAATAATCTGTGTATGAAGACAAAAGATCCACGGTGGCAAATTCTGGGATATTCGGTAATGCCCGTTGACTAACTTTATCAGTTCTAGCATTTGTCTTTCCGATAAGTAGGTTGATTGCCAGCACAGCCTCACTGACCTAAAATTAATGCATAATTAGAGTTCATAAATGCAAGCTTTCTGATTCATAGATTATCCATTAGGTAAATAATGTGAAAAAGCAAATTCATAAAATAACATTTGGTACACATTAGGGAAAAAATAAAGACAAACTGAAAAACAGTATGTGATCCCCAACATGTAGTATATATCACAGTCAAACAAATCATGACTGTTGACAATTTAATCAATAAATAAGTCATTTTGAATAGGCTACCTCCCCTAGCTATGACATATACTTGCCAAAATGTGCGTCAAATAGGTGCACATTTGTATCTCCCATTATTTTCATTAAAGAAAAGTGGAACCAAACCAAGTCTGGCTAATAGCAATTAAAAACACTACACATATAAAGAGCACTTCTAATCTTCCCAAAGAATGTGATACTTTCCTTTCTCTTGTATCAATACATTGTTTTGCCTTAACAGATGTGACGATAAAAAGAAGAGTTAAATAAAACTCACACCAACCTGTGCAGCAGCTCTTATTGCAATCCAGGCAAATAAACTGTGCATTTCAGATTTATTTACTGTTGGTTCTTTAATAGAACTATACCTTCTGGGAAGAGCCTAAAAAATATGGCAAATGTTTTATGATAAAGATAGATAAAGATATCATAAAGTTTCGTGATAGATTTTCTCATCTTCTGAAGATGAGATTTTAGTGGAACACTACATGGCCATTAAATGTAATAATTTATATGTATAATACAGATGTATATTCATCTATTGACATGAAAAGGCATCCAAACTATCTTAAGCAAAAGAAAAGTATAGGTTACAAAACAGCATGCAAAATATGATCCCATTTTTTAAAAGATAGGCACACACATATATTCCCTGTATACACAAGCAGAGAAAATTATCAACAGTGGTTATCCCAGGTTTTAAGGGTAGTTTAATTATTTTTATCTTTTTTTGTGATTTTCTAAATGAGCTTACATTATTTGAATAAAAATAAACACAAACTGCATTTTAAGTAAATGTTATTTACCATCTTAATAGAGGATCTAGAAATTGAATATATCTTGTGTATAAAGACGTCAGAAACAAGAATATTACTTAAAGGTTTTTGAGAGGTATTTGCTATCAGTTTTCTAACTACAAAACTGTTAAAGGGATGACTGTAATCATAACATTCCACAGAATAGCAAAAAGTGACAATGAACGGAGATATGTTTAACATGGGAGGGTGTGTGTGTGTGTTCAGCTTTTGAATATAAAAAAGTCAATAGTATAGAAGTAAACAGAACTCCACCAGCAACATAGTATCTGTTTTATATTTTTAAAGTATTAATAGTCAATTTTAAAGATTTAACTAATCTGTAAAAACTATTCAATTAGATTGCTTGTTCTAATTTTTGATGGTCATATTTTGGCTGATTTTTAAAATCTTCAACAAAACTCCAGAATAAAACAAGCAATAATAAAAATATCTTTCTTTTACTTCTGGCTATAAGTCTCCCAAGGAAAAAGAAATGCAATGAATAAAGCTAATGCCAGAGCAGGAAATACAATGCACAAAGGTGGCCTGGCCCAGATCAAGTGTTAAGCTTGGAGGTAGACAGATGATACCTGAAGAGATCTGCCCATGGGGAATCTAAAATCTAAGCAATATAGTCCTGTCCCAGATATGGAGACCCCAGTCAGCAACTGTAATAAAACTACTTAGGCTCTGGTGTAGCCATTGCCAGCTTACTGACTATGTAAGCTTGGGCAATTCACCTGCTTAATTCTGGAAACAAGGTTAATAGGCATTGAGTGAAGAATATAGAATAACATTAAATAACTATATTGGAAGAACAATTAGTGACACACACATTCAAAAAAGAGAGCTCATTTTGAATTGAAAGGAATGCTTTATTGAGGAGGGATTGAGAGGTGTTCAACATTGAGTAGGAGATACTAGCTTATGCAAACAGGCAAGAAAAAGAAAAAAATGCATCTAGATAGGAAATGAAGAAGTTAAATTGTCTTTGTTTGCAGGAGACATGATGCTCTATGTAAAAAATTCCAAGATACACACCCCCCCCCTCTAGAATTAATAAATGTGTTTATTAGCAAAATCACAGGATACAAAACTCAATACTCATAAATCAACTATATTTCTGTGTACCAGCAATGAACAATCTGAAAGTGAAATTAAGAAAATACCTGTTCACAATAGAAATAAACTTAACAAAAATGTACAAAATTTGTACACTGAAAAGTAAAAAAACATTTTGAGAAAAATTAATATCTAAATAAATGAAGAGAGAGTTCATATTTATGAATTGGAGGATTTGACATTGTTAACATGCCAACTGTCCACAAATTGATCTGTAGATTCAACACAATGTCTACCAAAATTCTGTTAGTTTTTTGGCAGAAATTGACAAGCAGATTCTAAAGTGTATATGAAAATGCTAAAGACTCAAAGTGAAAACAATTTTGAAAAGGAAGAAAATAACTGGAGGGCATGTACTTTCCAATTTCAAAAAACTTACTACAAGCCACACAGTAACCAAGACAATGGATACTCACATAAAGGTAGATTTATGGATCAATGGAATAGAATTGGGAGTCTAGGAATAAATATTTATATTTATGATCAATAAACTTTTTGACAAAGGAGCCAAGGCAATTCAGTAAAGAAAGATAGTTTTTTCAACAAATGGTGCTGAGACAAATGGATATCTATGTGCAAAATATGAATTTAGAGCTTTACCTCACACTTTACAAAAAATATTAATTCAAAATGGACCATGGACAAACATTAAAGCTATAAAACTTTTAGAAGAAAACATACGAGAAAATCTTCAACATCTGGGGTTAGGTAGAGCTACCAAAACCACAAAACATAAAAGAAAAAGATGATAAATTGAACTTCATTAAAACTAAAAGCTTTTTTGTTCCCAAAGACACGATTAACAGCATGAAAAGACAAGCCACAACTGGGAAAAATATTTGCAAATTATGTATCTGATAAGGGACATATACCTAGAATATATATTTAAAAATTCTTACAACTCAGTGATAAAAAAAGATAACCCGATTTAGGCTATGGGCCACGGATCTGAATAGACATTTTCCCAAAGAAGATATACAAATGGCTAATAAACACATGAAAAGATTTCAGTATCATTAACCATCAGGGAAATCAAAATCACAATGAAATATTACTTCATACCCACTAGGATGGCTATAATCAAAATGATAAATAATAACAATTGTTATCAGGGATGTGGAGAAGTTGGAACCCTCATACACTGCTGGTAGGAATACACTACACAATGGTACAGTCACTTTGGAAAACAATCTAACAGATCATCAACAGTCTAAACAGAGAGTTGACATTTGACCCAGCAATTCCATTCTTGGGTATACACTGAAGGAATTGAAAACATATGTCCACATAAAAAATTTGTATATGAATATTCAAAGCAGCATTGATCATAATAGCCAAAAAGTGGAAACAATTCGTTTGTCCATCAACTGTTGAATGGATCAAGAAAATGTGGTATGGGCTCCCCTGATGGCGCAGTGGTTAAGAATCTGCCTGCCAATGCAGGGGACACAGGTTCGATCCCTGGTCCGGGAAGATCCTACATGCCGCGGAACAAATAAGCCCGTGTGCCACAACTACTGAGCCTGCACTCTAGAGCCGTGAGCCACAACTACTGAAGCCCACGCGCCTAGAGCCCATGCTCCACAACAAGAGAAGCCACCTCAATGAGAAGACTGCGCACCGCAACAAGGAGTGGCCCCCGCTCGCCACAACTAGAGAAAGCCAGCACGCAGCAAAAAAGACCTGCCAATGCAGCCAAGAATTAATTAATTAATTAATTTTTATAAAAAGATACACAGAAAATAATGATCATATTGTATAGAATTATACTATTCTTTTCACTCAAATCTTATTTGTTCAATCTCTTAATTAATTATAAACACCTCCCTAGAGAAGGCCCAAAAGGTGATATACTTCTATCCTAGAATCTTATTAATTTGCATTGCAAATTGCTATGGAAACAAATATTTTTGTTTTCTCTTATTGGACATAAAGATGTTTATCACACCATAAAAGTAAGTTTTCTATGTAATCATTTTGATGGAAAAAAAAAATAGCTGCCCTCCACCTAAGGCAGCAACCATATGAGTAGTTCAGCTGACTGAAAGCTTATTTGCCTAAAGGTTTTAAATCATGTTTATGCTGTCTCAAAAATTAGAGATTTGACAGCAAAGTTTTCTGGAAAGATTTTTTGGTGGGTCAGAGGATTATTTAATAAGAATGAAATATATAATGCTTACTGAAATTTAAAGAATAAAAAACTAGACATTTTTTATTAAAAAATGAAAACAAAGTTACTGGGTTCATCCACCTCCAAACCACCCAACCTCCTGCCCAGAGGATCTCCCTCTGTCTGGATCCTTGGTACTCAAGTGTGGCCCACAGACCAGCAGCACAGGCATCACCCAGGAGCTCCTTAGAAAGGCCAAATCTCAGACCTCATCAGGATCACAGGATCCCTGGAGATGTTTCTGCCCCTTATTTGGAAGTGCTGCTTGAGGGAGTACATGCCTCTGCCACTCTTTGCACGCTCCCTCCCAATCCATCAAATCCCACTTTCCAGCTCTTTCCACCACAGTCATTCACAATCCCACCAACCAGAGTTATTTCCTAATCCTAAATTTCACCACCTAAAGCACCCCCCAGCCTTCCTTCACTTCTCTTCCTCCCACCTTTCTTCCTCTTGCTTTCTTCCTTTCCACGTTTATTATCTGTCTCCTTCCACTAAAGAGTAAGTGCATGGAAGCAAGCACTGAGTTTGTCTTGAACCTTGCTTTATCACCTTCCAGAGTATGGCCTGGGTCATAGTACGTGCTCAATAGATATGGGATGAATGAATGAATGACTCTTTTCAAAAGGTGATCTGTTTGCAAGCCACATCAGTGGTGAAAACCATACATGTCCATCTGCTTAACCAATATGTCATTTCCTGCAATCCCCTAATCAATACTAATGACTTAGAGTATTTATATACACCTACATTTATTTCATGGATAACATTTTAACAGGCAAAAATGTCCACGTGAAATCTGTTTCCAGAGTCTTAACGTAAAAATATCGAAGGAGGTATCTAAATATGAGTGTGAGCATTAAGTAATGAATTAATTTCTTCAAGTCACAAAGAAAAACAGTCTCTCTATTTCCATAGCACAGTGCTAGCAAAGTAAGCAAGTTCAAAGGCAACATACTTTAAATTTCTAATAAAATTGTTTGTTACCTTAATAAGTGTTAATGGTGATGCTGAAAGTTTGCTCTTTGGCTTCCTCATGTGCAAAAATAATAGGGCTATTTCGAGGTAGGAGTCTCTTATCAACCTAAAATGATACAGCATTGTACTTATTAGATAGCTCACCATTCATAATCATTTTTCATCTTGTGTCAACAATTTCTGAGAGAATAAAAGGCAAAAATAGGCAAAACCAACATCTGTTCCAAAGTCATCCTCTTTTCAGAGCACTTGCGGCTTAGACACGGGCATCTTCCTTCCTACTGAAATTGAAAGCTCTTGAAGAGAGCTGAGCATTCTACCTTGTCCTGTGCTGGCAATACTCCATGCTATGACCACAATGCAGCCGAGCATCAAGACCATTCTGGAATATTCCAGCACACAAGGCACTAAAGAAGTGACAGTCAAGACTGGAGGAACCTGCCTGGAAAACCAGACCTCTCTCTCTATTCTCCTACGCTAATTATAATAAGTTCGAAAGAGACACATAGAGTTATGCTGAAAGCCGTGATTCGGTATGGGTTAGGTCTGTGTATTCACTATCAAACCTGTCAGGTGGGACCATTTAAATCAGTGCAGTTGTAATAATGCTGGCTTATTCTCCATCTTAAGGTGACTTTTATACAGAATTGAGCTGGCCAGCCTTGGTACTGCTCAACCAGAGTGAATA